AAAGGTCATCTACTATATGCATACCTCTTGAGATTCTGTAGCTTCAGTTCCAGACCACCGCAATAAACTGAGCTATAATCTTTTTGCTAGTGGAGGGTCTTGCCTTCAATTTGTAAAAAAAATGCAAAATCTGTGAGGCGCAATAAAGCAAAGCACAATGAGGTATGCCTGCGCAGTCATCTCTTGAGTTCTCTAATATATAAATTGGGCAAATGTTTGCCTTTGACTTTGAACTTCACTGGGGTCAGAGGACACTAAGAAGAGTTAAGCACATTGACTAAAACTTCCAATCAGAGACAGGCCCCGTTGCTGTTATTCAAATACAGTGAGTGCCCATGTGTATGAGCAAACTTTTTGGAGAAAATAAAACTGCTTTTCAGTGCAGTGAGCTTTCTCCTCATCCCACTCTACATCCCAAAGTAGAATCAACTGAAACCTACATACCCCACTTGTATCTCTAATTCTACACTGAACTCAGTTTTCCTAAGAAGTTCTCTTTACAGCACTGAGGATGCAGGCTCTGATTAAGAAAGGAAACCATATGACACAACAGGGCACTTAGAGCAGGGAGCACTTTACCATGTCCATTGGTCCGTGATGGGGACTGTGGGAATTATAAAATGCAAAGCTGGCTCCACACCTCTGCTGAGAATGGTGTAGGATCTGGCATCCTAGTGAAATTGCTATCAACTCCAGGCATAATACACTGTCCTCTTCCATCCACCTGTGATCCCTTTACCCCACAAAACTGCCCATGGTAGAGTACAATAATTTCTCATAGTTATTACACATCTACTACAAATGAAGAACAGCGTCCTCTGCTTTTACATACATTAAACAATACAAGCCGGCCTACAACACTGCAGTATAGAGTCTAATTATCCACATTTTTATTAGCTCAAAAAGAAGGTAAATAACTTAGCTAGAAGCACATGACTAGGAGAGCAAGGGGGAGATCTATTTGGTTCCAAAGCCCATGCGCCTTCCTCAGCTGCCCATCAGGCTTAAAGATTCCCTTTGTGTGTGAACGTGTGTTTATATATCATTATTGTTACTGTAAGATTAATCTGATACCAATTCATAGAGGCAGGGTCTTAATGACCAAAAACAACACAGAAATCTATATAACATGTGTGAACAGGCATCTGATCCAGATATTCCCACCTATGCTGTCATCAGCCATAGCAGATCCCTATCTTTTAAATTCATTCTTTGGTACCCCCAGGTGCTTAGCACAGTACTAGGTACGCTGTGGGCATTTGTCATTTAGTCTTACTGATGATTACTTTGCTAAGATTGCTTATTGGCAATAAGCGCTTAAATGCTGAATGATGAATTATCACTAACTCTGATTCAAAAACAAAAGTCTTAGACACTGGGAGAAACACCAAGGGGACCTAATACACACCTTGGCCAACAGAGAAGGTGTTCTATCACTGGGCAAAAACAGTAATATCTGAACCTTACAAATGGGTTGATCTCACTTGAGATATATAGTTGTATATATCTTACAATCTCCACAGGAAACAGTGCACATGTGAGGTGCTGGTTTTGAGTGGGCCAACTTCGGGGGACCCTTTGGATCTGGATTCTCTACTCTGTAGGGGTGTCATATAACACAAATTCAGAGAATGGCTGTAAAAATTCCAGGTACCAAGTTTATAGACACAGAAGCTATCCAATCAACTCAGGTGGCATCTCAGCACCTCCCAAGGCTTCCTGTGTATGTAACTACCTCCAACTGGGCAGATTCAGGCCTATGTCCTAATCCCAGCAACACCTCTCAGTAGCTGTGTGACCTCAGGTCAACAACCTAGCTTCTCTGAGTCCATTTCCTCATCGCAAAGATGGAAGATCACCTATCTCAGAGGCTGTTTTGAGGAGGAAAAAAATAACATTTGCATGTGGCTGCCCCATGCTTGATATGCGGAAGGAACTCAGTAAATATTAGTTGGGTTTGAATGTGCACAGAACAGCTCTGACATATACACGTCCTGTTGAATAGGGTCATGGTCAATAAGTGGTCATGGTAACAAGTAAAGGAGAAAGGGAAAGAAGAAGTAGTGACAGAAGTTAAAATTAGAGACAATTTTTTTTAAACCTCTCTCCTTTCGACAAATGATTTCAACCTTTTAACAACTGTACTGTTTAAAAGTTGGTCTTATTTGATTGAATAAGTTCTCTCTTGCCCTCCACATGTTCTGATAAAAGGAATAACAACTGTAAAGCAGGCAACCAAATGGGGCCCTGAAGAACTGGCTATACAGACTTGGGTCAGTTTGGTGAAAGGGGGCAGCCTGAGGTACCTCCTACTGCCAAGTTTCTCTCTCCTCAGATGCTCCTCTAACTTAACAGTTTAGAAACCAGAGGCCACATCGAGGTATGCCTCCCCACCAAAGACATTTTCCACAATCTAACCTGGTGCCACAATTCTGAAATCCAAAACTAGAAGAGCCACAAAGAACAGTTCCCCTTTATTGAGCACCTGCCTAATGTGCGTCACACTCAGTGCTAAGAATCTGGCACATAATATCTGCACAGGGGAATGGTCTGAATTTTTTAAACCCCTTTTGCAGAATAGGAAACTACTACAGGACATCCCCCAAAGATACTCTAAGCCCCTCAGCTACTCACATGTCCTCAAGAACTCAAGTCTGCATGACACCTGGAAACTTCAGATCTAATCGCAGGGCTGGATTCTGCAAAACTTCATCACACACAATCATCTTAGCCCCACAGCAAAAGTGGGTCTGGGAAGAGGAAAGAGCTGAGACAGACTGGAGGAGAGACCTTAATCCTTTAGGGGCCACCTCTGATTTGCAAACAATGGTCACAGGGCTGCTGGGAAGAGTATGCATTTTACTTCTGCAAAATAGTCTCTCCCAGAAAAAAAACCAAAGTCACCTGGCCTTCCTAGGGGAAAATGAAAAATAAGGCTCTTCTTCCAAGATTCACGCTGAACTCCTAACCCTTCCTGCCTCTTCCTGCCCCAGAGAGCGGCTGGATGGTTGTTGTTTCTTTCCTTTTTTTCCCTGTGGTCCCCTGGTAACACCACAAATTACGTTTTCAGGGATTCAAGTCCCAGAGTGCAGTGATGTTGTAATAAACATAACCAGGACCAAATGCCTTCCCATCATATTAGATGATGCCATTTCCCACCAATCAGGCTCCTCGGGCAGGCAGACCACTCACCAATGAGGGACCAGACAGAGGCTGTGAGGGGGAGACCTGGTCATCCGCAACTAAAAATAAGGGCGCTTCACGATTGGCCACTGCCACTTTGCAACAGGAGTTGGGACCCACACTAGGCACCATACAGAAGGCACACGCAGGCAAAAACTTTCACAGCCCAGGGGTTCACATGGGGTGGGCTGGTCTGGAGTTGTTGGGTTTTGTTCCTTTTCCTAATTTGCTGACTTCAAAAAAGAAAGTCTTGATCCAGAGCGGCCCCTCGCAGACACACCCTCCCTTCTAGACATCTTAGTTTCCAAAGGCCCTTCGCAGCCAACCAGAATGGGGAGAGGGAAGGGGTGTAGGCCAGGGGCCAAGACACTCACCTGTCCGGCCGTGTCATAGAGTCCCAGGAGGTACTGCTTGCCCCCTACAGTGACGCTGACTGCAAGGGCAGAAGCGGGGGCGGGGAGAAAAGCCCACGATTAGACTCTGGGGCAATTTCGGTCCGCACCAGGACCCTCCTCTCCCAGCCCCGCTGGAGGCATGAGGGGCGCTAGCAGGGAGACGTTATCCCTTTTTTCTTGTGCCCAGCTCACTGCGAAGTGGCATGAGGTCGGGGTGCGATGTGGCCCTCAGCTTCCCGTTCCCTTCTCCCAAGTCCCATAGCCACGTCTCTCTCGCCCGGTTCCCCCAAATGTTTGCCGGGGCTCGGGGCAGTAGAGGAGGTGGTTGTGGGAAGGTCATGGAGGTCGGCCCTGGACTTCAGTGGGTTGGGAAGTGCGGAGAGCTGGCACTGGGCGCGGGGGTAGGGGGTAGGAAGAAGGGTCCGATCCGCGGGCGAAGGGGATGGCGAGAGGCAAAGCCTGGGGGTGGGGCAGGGCGCCAGGCTGAGAGCACCGCGGGAGAGGGGTGGGGAGCGCGTTCAGCAGAGGCAGCGAGGGGGCTCCGCCAAAGTTGCTCCAAAGTTCCCGGCCCTGGGAGCGGCCCCTTAGTCAGCAGTTCCGCGGCTTACCTGCGTAGTGGTCGAAGACGGTAGGCACGTACTCCTCCGGGAAGGCGTCGTTGGCATAGCTCATGAGTAGGCATGTCTTGCCCACCGCCCCGTCGCCGACCACCACACACTTGAGCATCAGCGCGCCGGGGCCGTGAGCCATGCTGCAGCCGGCCGACCTCCGGGCATGGTCCCCCCGGAGTC